GGCCAGTCCGAGCATGTGAGCCAATGTGGACTGTACATCACGTGTTTGTGATATTTGCGTACAATTGTCTGTCTGCCCGAGTGCAGAGCACACCACCACAGAGACAATCTAATGCGTTGGTGGACAGACACGGAGGCTGCATCATGTGGACAAGTGGTTCTGCAAAGTGGCATCATTTTGCGTGTCCGACGTGACTAAGGCCGATCTGGTCCGAGTCGCCGACTCGACGTGGACCGTCCACGTCGCGCACAATCCAGCAACTGGACTGCCCACTTCTCTTCACTCGAGCATGTGATTATTGTTAAGAAAAACACGCAAAACCAAGTAGCCGCGACGCAGGCCAGCGGAGAGAGCAGGGATGGCGCCGGAGTCACACCTTTTCCTACACATTCCACAGCTCAGCCGGACATGTTTGCGGCATCAACTCATTTCGGTGGTACGTTGAACTGAATTGAAGTTGATGCAAGTAATGTGTACATGCTAATCTTTGTACTAATCGAAAATAGCGCCGCTCTTCCCTCCACACACACACACACACACACACACACAAATATGCATATATGCACAGACAACCAGATAAATAGACAATCACAAAATCACATATCAGCTCTGAGTCACCCAAGAACAGGCAAGATCGGAGCAAGTACGCATAAACGGATACACACATACACACAAGAGCATACAGAAAAAGACTACCGACAAGTGGTAGTCTCGAAATGCAACTTGTATGCGAAATGTATGAAAAAGCAGCATTTACGCATACAATTCAGCCAACTTTGATCGGCTGTCGGGACGGCGGTGATGCCAGTGATGCTGCTTTTTCAGTCTGTGCTTGTCTGTCCGCTTGTGAGGGTATGCCCGGCCGATGGAGTAGCGTTCATCTCGTGTGGAGAGAGAACGAGTGAGAGGGGTCGAATGAGGCTGGCTTTGGAGGCGCGATGGTGGCGGTGTAAGCCAAGAAGACACGAAGAATAAGTGGCCGTTCATGAATCCCCGAAAATAACATTGTTGGGGCAAGATATGAAGAGTTTTTCGAACTCGCTTTGGCAACTTGGTCTTGTTACCAGGGCAACTTGGTTGGATGCATCTCGTCCGACGTCGTCTGCCCTCGTAGTTATCATAATTCCCATCGTCACGGTCACGTCAGTCGACGCTGTGACGCTGGAAGTTATTGTTTCGAGCGAAAGTGTTTGCGTGAAGAGATTGGAAGGTCTGTTCCACAAAAAGACGACAGCGCATCCACCTTGACCCGCTGTCGATTGGCTGTACTGGAACATTCTTGTTGACTCTGTTTCCGAGGCAATCTGCTTCGATTCCGGTGAAAAGGTGCTAAACTTTCGCCCGTCATTTGACGGACATCATCACCATCTCCATTGTCAATCGGACATTGTAGTCAACCTGATTAATTAGAAAAGATACGATTATCTAAACTTTTCTTTCCATCCTTGCAAATAGCAAAGTAGTCATCCATGCATTTAACTAACAATTTGGCTGTCAATCTTACCTCTTCCGCGAAGTGTTCTTCAACTCTTGACATGTAATTATTCGCTAAAATGGCAGCCAAGCAAGATCTGTTCATAAACTGTATCATTAAAGGGGCAGTATGTGCTGGTCATGGATAGATCAAGAAGCCTTAAGATTGATCTTGTGCCCAGATTTCCATCCCCAATAATTTCAGAGTGTACGTGCTCAATAGCTTCCTGAACTGGGCTGTTAGTATGCATTGATACAACATCAAAACTGACCAAAACATCCTCCTCTTTCATACTCTGTTGATCTATTAATCAGGCAAATTGATATCAATTCTTCACTTAGTTACCTCGTTCTGATTGGCTTTACGGACGCTGATTCCGAGGCAGTCTGCTTCGATTCCGGTGACAAGGTACAGAGATTTCGTCCGTCACATGACGGACATCATCAGAGCAAGGAGGGTATCATCGTGACAACAAAATTCGAGCTAACGAGTCAAGAAAACGCTTTTTAGGGAGTTGCCGGTGAGTTTTCTTGACTCGTTAGCTCGAATTTTGTTGTCACGATGATACCCTCCTTGCTCTGATGATGTCCGTCATGTGACGGACGAAAGCTCTGTACCTTGTCACCGGAATCGAAGCAGATTGCCTCGGAAACAGAGTCAGCATGAATCTTCGAGTAAAGCCAATCGACAGCTGGTGAAGAGGAATCGGCTGTCGTCTTCTGGTGGAACCGATTTTCGAATCTTTTCCCCCAACACTTTCACTCGAAATGGAAGTAAGCTGAACAATTATGCAACAAGAGATTCCTCGAAACCCAACTTTTCTTCGCATAGACTGGATGAGATTTCGACAATCTGCTTATACCCAAAAAAAGAGTTTCCGTCCGTCATACCATTTGACGGGTGGGCGCATGGTTGGAGCCAATTCGTGAAAAACGCGCCATGATGAAATTAAGTTGAGAAAAGCCGTATTCAGCAGCTGAATTTGCCCACAATCTGCATTTCACAAGGACTCGCTTAAAAAAATGAAAATTTAACCACCTTGAACGAAATAAGCCGTAAATGGCTCTTCTATTGGAGCCACGAATGGCAGTCTTATAACTCTACTTTGAAATGGGAAATAAGCAATTGTTTAGCTTACTTCCATTTCGAGGAAAAGTGTTGCGTGAAGAGATTCGAATCTCGGTTCCACCAGAAGACGACGGCGGATTCCTCTTTATCAGGCGTCGATTGGCTTTACGGACGCTGTTTCCGAGGCAATCTCCTTCGATTCCGGCGAAAATGTATTAAGCTTTCGTCCGTCACATGACGGACATCATCAGAGCAAGGAGGGTATCATCGTCACAACCAAATTGAAGCTAACGCGTCAAGAAAACTCACCGGAAATCCCCCAAAAGTGGTGTATACACTCTACATTTGTCCTCTTTGATCAAGTATAAAGTGATTTGGCCAGTTGAGGTCATATTGCATGTCAGTGTGTTTGTTTCTGTATGTGTTTGTGCCTGTTTGTGTTCACTTATGCACTAAAAAACCCGAAGTGATGGCTCAAATTGATCGCGCACTTTCACTCGAAATGGAAGTAAGCTGAACAATTATGCAACAAGAGATTGCTCGAAACCCAACTTTTCTTCGCACAACTGAATATAGCCCAAATTGGCAGAGTTGCTTAGTTGTATGCAAAACTATTTACAATTAATGTTATCGGGACAGCCCTCTTGTAAACCTCGAGGGGACCGTAAGCCATGGGGGCCATTGTCTCTCTGTGGAGCAGTCAATTCCTTTTCAACTTCTCCATTTCAGCATTCTTTCTGTTCGATCTAAAGGCCTATACGCGTCAGTGTCATTTAAATGAAATAATATTGTTTTACATAACTTGACCCAACCATAACTACCACTGCTCCACCTTTTTCGGCTTCCATTGCGATCAGAGTATGACCAGATAAACACCCAGCAACCCTATTTAGAAGACAAGACAACATTGGCGGGATTATTTGGACAAAACTCGAAACCATTCTTCACCTCTTCAAGCAACCCATCAGATACGCCAATTAATTCAACAATTATGCTCAGAGAATGGTTTTCTTCATTCGGAAGAACAAGATTCAACCCTCCTTCCAATAAAAGTGATACCGAATACATTGATTAGCTCATTCTTCCCCAGTTTGTTGCAAACATGGTCACTACGACGTACCTTCGACGCAGAGTTTGTCGACCCAATTCTATCCCTCAAGTTCCTAAATTTCTCATTGATGGACCTCGATGCGTTCACACGTCCACCAAGCAACCACCAACTAGGAAGCACATTATGAGAAATATAAATAGAAGCAATCTTATTCGATTAACTTTAATGGGATATGGTTTTCTCGGCTATTGACAAGAAGTTGAACCATGCGTACATTGTAAACACGAAGAGTGACCGGATTGGTTGGCACAAGAAGACGGCGGCTGAATCGCGTCGTATTGAAACCGTTTGGCTTGACAACGACGTCATGCAAGCAACCGTTCTCTTCTCGTCAGATCAACATACGAAGCGCTTTTTCATGCAATTTCATGCGAAATGAATGCCTCCCCAACAATGTTGTCATGAGATTCATCGAAAACCTGTCAATTGTGGTATTTTTAACACATTCTCAATTGCCATTCTCTTTGCCGAAAGTGAGTTGCAGCTCTGATGCTGTCCGGCATGCAATGCACAAAAGCACAGCCCGTTTCACGCGAAAAGAGCGACGATGTCCCGCAGACCGCGTCAAAGTGAAGGTCGTATTCACGCAAAACTCGAATGTAGAACACCGCCAATTGGTCGTCGTCTGGTGGTGAGAACAACCCTCCAATCTCTTCATTCGACACAAGTTCACACCGAACATTATGACAACGTTATGATAAACATTAGGACAAACATTATGACAACATTATGACAACATTATGACAAACATTATGATAACATTATGACAACATTAGGACAAACATTATGACAAACATTATGACAACATTATGACAACATTATGACAA